TTTAGGGTTTGGGGTTCAGGGTGGCCGAAATAATTTGAATAGCTGCACGCCTCCCTTCACCCATGAAAATGATGGGTCTGGATTCTTAGGCCATGATAGAGGGTAGTAGATGGCGGGTGTGGGAGTGGAAAACAAAAGATAAAGAAAAGGGAGCATAATATGAGGTTATGGTACAGGGATTGTAAAGTACGAGCTTTTTCCCTCCCTCGTGGCTCTAATGCTTGTACGAGTGCAGAAAAATATTCAAAGGGGAGTGATGCATGCTGGCTGGGAATCGACGATAACGGAGTTTGTCACAAGAAGCCGTCCTTGGAGCTCTAGAGATATCTGAGTACACACACACTTTCATATATATATATATGCTTTTACATATACATGCCGCAATGCTGGTCAACAGCATTCCTGCGAGTAAGAATGGCCATTGCACGGAAAGTGGCGCAAAATGCAGGTTGGATATGCCGAATTGAATTGTTGAGTCACACTCCGCCATTATCTGTGAACGTAACGAAGATTCTCTTTTGGAAGGGGGCGCAGGACACGCAGACCTCAGCATCTTTGCAACCTTCATGTAGAAGTCTCTGTACTCCTGTCCCACAGACAGAAGGAAGCTTGTGCCGGGGGCCGGGGCCCCTGGTACAGAAACCACAGTAAACAAATTTAAGGAAGCTGCACCCGTTCCCCCTATTCGCTTGAATGAGACAGCAAGTTGCGGCGTATATTGCAGCGGCAAGTTCGTAAAGCTTTGGCAGGATCTGCTCCTTAGTCTCAATCAGCATCATTCGCAATAATGGGTACTACTAATCATGTACTGGGCTTCATTCAGTTTTCAGCTACAGGTCCCTATGCCCTCTTTGCTTTGCTCGGCTCCTCTGTTGAGGCTGAGGGAAGCCCTAGGATGCCCTAGGGTGCTGTCGCCGAGAATACATTAGCCTGCTTCTCAGTTGTGCAAGTGCACCGTCACTGTTGCTATCAGCGCTTTGTTCTTCTGATTGCCAACGTCGGACTCATGTCTGAGCGCAACTGAATGCTCAGTGAGTTGGACACACCTGTCAGAAACCATAAGACCTGTAGTCTAAACTCCTAGTATCCCCCTTAATAAGTCCTAGAATAGTCCCATAGAATCACCTTTATAACCCCCCTTTCAGGAGTTTAGACTTTAGCTCATAAGATTTCTAGCGGCGATCGCTGAGAGGCCTGTGTCAGAGAACATAACGGACAAAGTCGGATGCAGACACCGCTAACCCCAGACCCAAACCGCTCAACTTAGACCCTCGACTGCGTACAAACCGTGGAGATCAAGGGAAGGCATGGTGATATCTTCTTGCAGATAAAGAGCGTCCCAACCTTTCCTGTCTGGGCTGCCTTCCTCAGACCAAACATGGAGCCGATGGCCATCAAATGTCAAGCAAGAACCCTTGGCATCATAGACAAGGCACCGAGAAGTCAATCCGTGAGACATGCAGCACATCACCTGGGGGTAGTGCTTGTCAAGATAAACAGGACACTTTGAACTCGTGCAGCAATCTGCCATGCTGTGCTGTAGAGCTTGCAGCATTGGGCATCTGCTAGCGGAAAAAAATGCTCGCAAGAATCTTCCCCAATCATTGTTCTGATTATTACTACTCTTCCTACC